TACCAGAAGTAGACAAAAGTCAGGAGTTCAAAATTGAAATCATTGTAATGTACCTAAATATACCATAATCTTATATAAAATTTAGTTTTAAAATCACTTTTTTTGACACCAGTCATCATACATCAAACAAGAAATAAAATTATTTCCTGAACAGGTTCAAAAAGATTAACATCTTGACTCTTTAAATGCTTTTACTAAGATTACAAAAAACCTCCAAACTTTAGGATATATTTGTTTATAATAAATACTTTTTTCAGAACGTTAATCTGACTCATTTTTACCATTATGGCTAGATATACACAGCTGAAGTCAGATATTTATGTTCAGTGTATAATAAGGTATATTCTCAAAAATATTTATATTTGTTCAATGCCCAAATAAAGATAGAGATATAGAAATTTCTTTTAATTAGAATCACAGATTTACAACATGGGTGTGTGGTTCATTATTCACTTTGAAGTGAATAAACTGGGCTTCAGCAGCCTGATCGACCCAACGGGGTAGTCTTGTTTTTAGTCAAGGTGACCAACTCTGGGCAGGTGTGAAGGATTCTTCAGCCTGCAAAAATGTGGATCAACTAGAACCAAAATGCTTGTATAAAAAACGCAACAGTGTTTTTGCTCTTTTCGTGGCATTAATAATGGATTTCAATGGGTGAATTTTTTCCCGTCGGAAGGCTAAAGGTTGATCAGGTGACCGGGAGTTTACAGAAACAACTGAAACATTTCTGACAAAGGTTTTTAAGGCATTGATGATACTATTAATAACACAATAAAAAAATTCCCACAAAGCCACTTGAGACAAATATTAAACGCCACTGTACTTCTGTTAGAGAGATTTATGTTTGTAATAATTACTTTGAAGAGTTAAAATGGTGTTTTTCACACATTAAATTTAAAACAATGTATAAAAATTATTTGCTACACAAACACAGCAAGGTTTGATTATGATTGTTTGCAGTTGCTTGATTTTGTTATAAATTTGGTTAGAATTTCATTGGAGATTTCCTTTAGAGTAATCTATAGGAAAGACGGTGCTGCTTTGGTTTTGATAATGCAAGCATAAAAAGTGAAGTTTCAAAAAGCTTATGTTTCTACCTACACTTTTTTAGTCTATACCTTGTGTTTTTGACATTGACAGGAATTCAAAGATTGTGTATTATTATTTATTTTCTGTATTAATGTGCATTTGTGCTGTCTTGTAAATGGAAAGGTTAAAAATGACCAAAATAAACTCCCTACATTGTGAAATATATTGTGAGTATTAAAGGGTTAACTCATACTGTACGAAACTTTACAATCCAATGATGTTACACCAACTTACAGGGTTTCAACAAGCCACTAAATGCAAAGAAACCCCACCTCCGGTGGTCCAGTCTTTTTTTTTAATAAATGTTTGATTATTTTCATTTTATCACCTACATTAAAAACTACTTGGATACCAGAAAACTGAACATTTACAAAGACAGAAATGCTCGACATGGACTTTTCTCTATCTACAGATTTGAACAAAGACCTACATTCAGTCTCTGGTAATTCCCTTTTTAGCGCTGACTGAAGGAACTGAAATCAGTTCAAGTGTTGGCTGGTGTTACACGACAAGCTTCTGTCATAGGCAGCTGAATGATACTCAAACTAATACCATTCACATTCAGAAAATTCTGCTTTTTCTTCCAAATTTGAAGTGTATGTTTCAGGTTCATCATGTAAAAGGCAGATTTTAAATGAATCTAAATGAAAAAAAAAAGTGAAATGTTAAAACTACAATAACGTTCAGAGTGTCGATGAGTCACCTGGTTCTCATGACAGGGACCTTGGCAGTACTCAGTCAGGCTCTCCACCGTCTGGTTGATGAGTCCCACGTTCTTCTCATTGATGTAGAGTCCCAGGAGGCCCAGTCCTCCTGTGGTGCTGCCACAAATACAATCCAAGAACTGAAGAGTCTCACACACCAGATTATAGTTGTTCTTGTTGTTCTGGTTGCGTAAAAAGTTCTAGAGAATAACAAAAAAATCAATAAATAAATCAATAAAACAAAAATTCATTAATTAAGAAATAAATAAATAAATAAAAGTAATAAAGAAATAAATAAAGAAATTGTTTTTTTTTATCAAACCTGTTATTCACTTTCATGATGTTAATATTAAAACATCTGACTTTAAAATAAAATCAGTTCAAAACAGTGAGGCAAGCAATGAGTTTAGTGGTGCTAAAACATGGTTCTTTGGAGTAAGTAGAATATTCTGGTAAGCAACACTTTTATTATTCGAATAAAAAAAAATCTTTATTTTGCTCATTACATGTGCATATAAAACACTTGATTTTGGTTAAAAATAATTAATAAAATAGTAGCTTAATGCTCATTTTGATAGTTGTGGATGAAAGTCACCTCTCAGACGTTAAAAACATCCCCCGTTTTAAGAGTAAACAGAATTCTTGCATAAAGGAAGTGTTCTGTCTGGGCGACAGGAGCTTCATAGCTTCAGAATGAAACCAGAACAAGACATAAAAGATATGGAAACAATTGCACCAGGAAGTTCTGCAGCTGGTGCCTATTTTCAACGTGGTTTCGTTTCTGTATAACTGAGCGTGATAAGTTTAAATTTAAAACTTGTGCCAGAAGTGTTTGCATAACCGTGGCCGATGGTCACAACAACAACGAGCCCACGTTCACAACAGGCTCATCCAACGGCTGACCTGCAGATCCCTGTTGTGGTTCTCACACAGCAGCTGCATGAGTCGTAAAATGGGCTGCATGATGGTAATAATGACGCTCATTTCTTCTTCGTCTTGGCTCTTGTCGGGAGTCGGGACGGGGGCACCGTCGGCGGCAGCTTGGTGCTCTTCGGCTTCGGCCTCACGCCGGTACGTCGTGTAGGCCTTCTTGGTGACGGCGGAGGCCTCGATCAGCTGCTCCTTCACTTCCTCAGTCACCATCGCAACAACTGGCACATCTTTCACTAAACAACGGAAAAAAAGGAGAGTCAATAGATATTTAGAGAGCAATATTTATAAGAGAAATTACTGTAATATTTGTATAAATAGACATTTATAACTAATTTTTTTGAGGGCATGTATATATTAAAGAGCAGGTAAAGACTAGGAATTCAGCTGACTGAGAACTATGTGCAGAAAAGACAACACATTCCTGTTCATTGATATCCCATGTGACTTAAATAGATTACCTTCTTCTTCTTGTTCACCTCGTGTTGTATTGGTGACCCTAAAGCTGCTTTCGCAAAACATTTAAGCCAGACTTAAGCCACCCTCTACAAATCTGGATGTGATTTGTGAATGGCAAGAAGCAGCTTAAAGAGGCACTCAACTTTTGGCCAATTTTTTTGGAACTCATTACCCCACTAACCTTTTTTACGCATTGGCAAGTCTTTGTCTGGTGGCTCTTCATCCTTCTTCTTGTTGCCCAGGTCACTGGTGTTGACTGTCACGGTAGCTTTGATCTCCTGCTGGGCCAGCTTCATGCGCTCATAAAACACCTTGAAGAACTTTTCAGATTTGTTGTCCCCCGTTAAACGATGATAGAATGACCGCTGGAGGAAAAGGAAAAGGAATATTTACGCTATGTAAGATGGACTTGTTTTCTCTCATCTCATTAAACCAAACATGCAGCTCTCAGGTGGATAAACTAGATACTGCATAGCGGTAGCATATATGCCCCCCGCACTTATGCAAAGCACCAATGCACCAGAACTCAGACATCATCAGAATGGACCTGATGGATACCCCTTCATCAGAGCTAAAAAAAAAAATCTGAAGTTTCTATGTTGCATAGTTTTTGAGTTATAAGCCCTTTTGCATGTCCAGACACCACCTATTAAGATGGAGCCCCCTCCTCAAATATTGGGTCTAATGAAAAAAACGTTTGCTGGTGCAATGTAGGTCTGACACATCTACATTCCTGCCAAATTTCACTTTGATCGGTGCAGCCGTTTCCGTGCTACGGTTGACTAAAAATGTTGAAAAAATAAATAAATAAAAACAATTTAATTTGTCAATGAGGTAGTGAGGTGTAAAAACCACGTCTTCTGGTTCTGCAGAACTGCTGCTGCTCAATGAAGAGAGAAACTCTGAAACAGGCTGGTTGAACAGCAAGAATCTTTATTTTGCAGTCCAGGAGATTACAGCCAAAAACGAAATTGTGGCCTTCAAGCCAAATGATTCACCAAGTAAGAAAAATGAAGAACGAAGGCTCAGGGTGGGGGCGTACAGGCTTGTACGCCCCCACCCTGAGCCTTAGTTCAAGGTGGGGGCGTATAAGGCTCTATAGGCTTCATTGTAGTTCAACAGATGTACCATAAATTTTGTCACGGTATACCTTAAGCATTCCTTTTCCTAATATGGTAATATGTGCCGAGCTCTGAAGCTGGAGAACTAAGAGAGGCATAACACATCTGTGCATTCCTGAGAAGAGGCCCCCACTCTTAGACACTACACGTGTAACCGACAGTATACATAACAGCCCTCTTGCGTAAAACGTCGAGGCGGAGTTACGTTTCTGTAGGCGCGTGGGTGAAGAGTATGATAGTAGATTTTGATGATGCACAGTGTAAATGTCAAAAGAAAAGGTTATGTCATATGCAGAATGAGTCCTACAATAGAAATCAACACTTTTATTCAACCAGATTCTCTTTTGTAAAGTAAAAAACCCATTTGGCACAGTTTTGGGTACACTTGGTTGAATTGTGCCGTTTCCGCCTGGCACACTGCTCACTAAAACCATTGCGAAATGAAGATACTTCAACTTATTCAGTCCTACTTTGCTACAGTTTTTCTCAAGATGTAGATGTATAAAATCCAAGTGTATTCCTGGGTTTTCACAAGAGTTTTCATTGTGTTTTACAATGTTGATTTAAAAAAAATTAGGCGAGGCTAAAAAATGACAAATTTTCTTAATTTAATCACAAATAACTCAGGCACAGTAAGAGTTACAATAGTGGTTTCACTTAACAAATTATCTTTAAGATCTTACCTTTACAGAGACACCAAGAGTTAGCATTTAGACCTTATAACTGTGGAGCTATTCAAGATTTATTTTGCTGTGTATTTTCAGGCGGAAATTACATCTAAAAACCCATTAGGGCTTAACAAGCAGAGTCTTTTGCTTCCTTCAAGTCTGCCGCTGCAGGAACTTCTACAGATGCCGTAGAAGTTGTGATTGTTTAGTACAGGAAACAGATGTAAGCTCTATTTCATGGGTTTCTATTTCCTAAGAAGTAAAAATCTTTTCTAAGGTTTGTTCAATGTTTTGTGTCACTTCTTCCTTTGGCTTGAATATAGCAACATGCAGCACTGAGCCTCAGATTAATTTTTACAAATTAGAATCAGAAAAGAGCATTTATGTTTTAATTAGAAATTGGGTTTTCTTTCTTTTTTCCTTATAGAAGCATGTAGTTCCTCAGTCAATAGGAACCTGACTGGGTTGTTATTCTTTCAGGTCAAAGCCAGATATCAAGATGGAGCCGAGCTCTGGGAGGCCAGTTGACTATCAGGTGTGTTTGTTGTGTTGTTTGTGTTTGATTGAACAAAAGCTCATTTGGTGTGATTGTCAAACCTCATTTCTTGTCTTATAAAATCTTTACGTTTTATATGTTTAATTTCTAAAAAGTAAATGTTGACATTTTAAAATCAGGCATTCCCTTTCTAACAGGAATCAGTTCAAGTTTAATTCATGACAATATCTTAAATGTTAACATTTATGTTATGTTCTTCTATTCGTCGATCTTGTTTTGTTTCTGTTTTTGTGTATTTTTATTCAACACGTTTCTATAAAGTTGCTGTGCAATTCTTTAGGTAGTAATCTCTAAGTGAATTAACCTTCTATGAATCAATAAAGTTGCCCGAATCTAAAATATAAAAGGAGATAATAGGTAGGAGCAGAAAATACGGGTTTTAAAAATTGAATTTAAAATGTCGCTGTTCAGATGCTGTCCTGAATGAATAGGATGGTTATTGCTTTCAGTCTGCTTTAATCACTTTAATAACCTTTCTGTTTGCCATCAGATCAGCATCACGGTGATCGAGGCTCGCCAGCTGATAGGTCTGAACATGGACCCCGTGGTGTGTGTGGAAGTGGGAGACGACAAGAAGCACACATCTATGAAAGAGTCCACCAACTGCCCGTACTACAATGAGGTGGGAGAATTTCAACTTTCAACACTCAAACTGCAAACGTGAAACATTTACAATATAATATAAAACATTTCCTGTAAATTTAAACTTTCTTCAACTCACATTAAAGATAACAGTGAGTTTCCGTCATGAGGGATTTGTGGAACTCTTACGTTACTGATCCAAGCAGGCTCGTCTGCGCTGTAATAATCCCGTGATGGGAGAGGATTTCCCTGTAAATTCAGAGTACAATTCGGTGCGGATGAGGAAGGTGTAGAGCTCAGCCTCTTTGTTGAGCCCGGCAGCGAATGAAAGTGACAGTTAGTTTGATATTGATTCCTTCCGTTTGACTGAAAATCCCCCCGCTGGCAGAAACACTGGAGAGCAGAGAGATTAAGGAGAACAGCCCCCCGACACTTCCTGTGCTCACTTTGGGATTTTCTCCTCTTCTCCCTGCAGTACTTTGTCTTTGATTTCCACGTCCCTCCTGATGTCATGTTTGACAAGATTATCAAGATTTCGGTGAGTATTTTAACAAATTGTGCACAGCACAGCATAAATATAATAATATAGTTTATATTAATATTAAAGGGGACTTATCATGCAAAATCCAAATTTTTTGCCAGTAAATGCATTTTGTGGTGCATTTGGAGTATCTAGGATTGCAGAAAAGTTTAATTTAGTGTCTCCCAGTACAGCRTAGATATATTTATATTCTGTTTGGGTCATATGWTTCACCCCGATCAGGTTTTTGTATTTTCTGTGATGTTTTCTGAACTATTACATCACAGAATTTGCGACAGAAATGCTAAATAAGGTCTGGACTTACCAACTACAGTTTGGTGGTCTTCATTCTCCTGTGGCTCAGTAACATGTRACACTGGATGGACAAGTCTTTCCTTGTTGACATCTTTAAATTCATTTATGAAAAACTAAAATAATAATAGCACCGCTGTAGAGTCGTAAACCCTTCTATCAAACTGGAATGAACCGCTCTAGAAGCTGGAAAGGGGCGGGGTTTAAAGCGCCTCGTTTGGATTTAAAGAGACAGCATGAAAACGAGTTGATCTGAGACACGCRTCAGAAAGAGGGGCTTGTAGAGTTACAACAAGGAGGAATTCATTGCAGTTCTACTTCACATAAACCCCAATTGCATGGTTTAAATGGGAAAAAGAGGGATTTCAAACCACGATATGTCTCCTCTAAAGGATAACTTTGTTATGGTGAAAAAAATTGCTGTTCTAAAGAAAAATACAAAAATATATAACATGACATAGATTAAGGCTGAGTGTTTTCATCAGACTCACAAGTTTAGTGTGATTTAAGTCTTAGGTTTCTTTTTTTTATTAGGTTATTCATTCTAAAAACCTGTTACGAAGTGGAACATTAGTTGGAACCTTTAAGATGGATGTGGGGACTGTTTACTCTCAGCCTGGTAAGCTTCTTTAAAGCTGCTTTTATGCCTCTCAAGTTGTTTTAACTAGCGGTGCAACAATACATATATATCTGTATCGAACTGTTCAATACAGTGCTCAATACACACTTTGTATGGAACAATACAGATATTTTGAATTTATTTTATCAGCTTGTCTTCTAAAGATGATCTGTGTTGAAGGATCAGTGGATCTGTGTTCGACTACTCCACCTAGGCTGCAATGTTGAGCGCAGATCCACTGAGAAACTTAACATTTAATTTAAAAACTGTACCTTTGAGGTTAAACAAATGTTCATAATTAATTTCAATAAATTACAAGTTACATTTCTCTTTTTTGCATCGAAAAAGTATCGAACCGTGAGACTAAAGTTTCGAACCAAATCGTGAATTGCACCCTATCTTTTAACCATTCATTAACATGAATCTGCATTTTGCCAATCAAGCATTTTGCATACTTATTCACTGACATTCATCGCAGAACACCAGTTCTACCACAAGTGGGCCATCCTGTCGGATCCAGACGACATCACTGCGGGATGCAAAGGTTACGTTAAGTGTGACATCGCGGTGGTCAGCAAGGGTGACAACATCAAGACCCCACACAAAGCCAATGAAACAGATGAGGATGACATAGAGGGGTAATAAGATTTTACTTATCCTCCTGAACCCAAATATTTGAGTATAAGACAGTATACTTATGGTTTTAATGTTACCACTTTTTGCTCAGAGCAGTACCCAAAAAGTTAGTACTTTACACATTTAATACAAACGTATAAAAATAAAATCTTATATGATGCTGTACAGCACAAAATAGTGCAATGCCAGGACTTTTATTTTGCCCTTTAGGGGGAAATCTGTTTTGTAYTGCACTTTTTAAGCATTTAGGCTGAGAAGCTGTGGCTACTAGAAAAGATTCTGTTTTAAGAATATGTTCTGGTTGTAAAAAACGATGAGCTGCTAATTTTTGCCAAAATTTGTCAAAGAAATTCTTGTTTTTAATATCCAAATGTTATCACCATTATACACCTGAAGAGTTTCCTACAGACTCTTCTTTTGTTACAGTCGGTGCACTTAATAAAACCTGAATCCAGTCAGTAGCTGCGTTTCCATTCACCGTGAAAAAGCGCAAATTAGAATTTCGAAAATAAATTTGCTCAATGGAAACACGTCAATTTTGAAAAGAATTACGTTTTTCAACAAAATGGTTTTGCGCTAGGATGAGGTGGTTTTTCGGCTGTATCAAAATTGATATATTTTGCAAAACTGCAATGGAAACACTTTTTTCGCATCACAGGAGTCACGTGACCAAGAACTGGCTGTTTCAACTGGAGAAAAAGACATGTCGAAGATAACAGGAAGTAAAAGTAGTAGTAAAATCACTGAAGTAGTAAAAGAAAGCAGTAAACTCACCGACTACATTTTCCCAAAAACGCAACATACCACTCCCAAGTATAAGGGTCTCGTCACTCGAAAGCCTCAATAAGACGCCGACGTCGCCTCTGATGATGAGCACTAGTGTCGTGGTAGCAATATGCTATGTGCTTACATCTATTGCCGCCATGTTTGTAATGACTTATCGCGTGAACATTTACAATTACAACAATTTTCATGCGTGACTTTAATAGCATTTCTTACTTAATGGAAACACCGCAGTTGCGAAACTGTGTTTTTAGACATTAACAGAATATCGACAAAGTTTTGCGCACATTTGCAACGGAAACGCAGCTACAGATTGTGTTCATGTATTTGTTTCTTYATGCTCCAGAAATCTGTTGCTCCCAGAAGGCATCCCTGCCGAGAGGCAGTGGGCGAGAATTTATGTAAAAGTTTACCGTGCAGAGGGTCTTCCCAAAATGAACACCAGCATCATGGCAAACGTGAAGAAAGCGTTCAGTGGAGAGAACAGAGACCTGGTGGACCCCTACGTTCAAGTGCAGTTTGCTGGTCAAAAGGTTCTGACATTCCTCTTTTATCTCTTTGCTGTGTTTTTGCTGCTTCCTTTTGCTGTTGTTGATCCACAGAAAATGATTGTCATGAAATGTGCTTTAAATTATATGTGTTCATAAAGAAAAAGTCCATTCAGTTTAGCTTTCTGTAATTTTCTGTTCTCCCTCTGTCTACAGGGAAAGACTTCGGTCCAGAAGAGCAGTTATGAACCAATCTGGAATGAGCAGGTCATCTTCACAGAGCTGTTCCCTCCTCTCTGCAAAAGAATCAAGGTCCAAATACGAGACTCGGATAAGGTCACTGACATCGCCATAGGAACCCACTTCATCGATCTGCGCAAGATATCAAATGATGGCGATAAAGGTACGAGTCAAAACACACAAGGCAGCGCRAAAGCCAAATGTCTCATTTGCAACAATAAACTGTAAAGTTCAATAATCAACTGCTTCAATGGAAAAGTTTTCACTCTTTGATTTATTTTTGTAACTTTTCCAGGCTTCCTGCCCACGCTGGGCCCAGCCTGGGTCAACATGTATGGCTCCACCCGTCAGTACACACTGATGGACGAGCACCAGGACCTGAACGACGGGCTGGGAGAAGGCGTGTCMTTTAGAGCGCGCCTCCTGCTTTCTGTAGCTGTAGAGATCCTGGACACGGCGGCACCCGAAGTCATCAGCTCAACTGAGGTTCAGATGGAGTCCGTCTCCAACATCTCAGAGGTCAGAGGGGGTTGATGCATAGTTTAGAGCAGGGATGTCCACCCTGAACTCATTTTGTGTGGCTCCTGACTTCAGTTCAAGTATTATACTAATTTGTTTACAAATTTGTCCACCCGCACAGGTGTTTGATGTGGATGGAGACATTCTATTTATTATTAGGGCAAATTTATCACAAAGTAAAATCTAACAATAAAAAATATTGGCTACAATACCAATTATTTGTCTTTAAATAACCAGACTCTTAGCTTTTTCCACATCTATCCAGTGACTCCTACTCAAAAGCTGATTTTGCTGCCCTCCAATCTGCTTTAAATTATAGAATAAATTTGTCTGAATACAACAAGCATTTTCAACAAAAGAATGACATAAGTTGTGATGTTATTGATTGGAATTGACTAAATTGAGATATATTTTTCCCCAAATGAAACCTAGAAAATGGCTGAATTTCTTCCAGTAAGGGAATCCTGCAAAAAACTTTTAAAGTCCTGGATTTAGATTAATTTTATTATCCATTTCCAGCAATAAATCTGACCACTCCATCCCAAGATGTATTGTGGACCATCAGGGGGATTTTTTTCTCTGTGTAATGGCAGAGTTTAAAATACAAAATTTGCAGTACAAAACCTGAAAGTAAGCAGTTGTGTTATTAAGATTTTGTAGCCTGTTTTTAATATTATTCTTGTCAAAAATCATTGTAAGACTTGACTAGAATTCGTTCAACAGTGGCAATAATTGAGCCACTGTGTTGTCCARTCACACATTTTAAAGTACAATTTGTATGTTTTGGTGTTTTTTGACACTCTTTAAAAATTAATGCTAATAAGTTGGTTCCTACTACAAGTTTCTGAGATTTTGGTGAAAGTTTGTACATTTACACACTGAAAGTAAAAAACCCAAAGTAGCTCAGCAGTGCATAAAAAATAATTAGGTGGATTTATGCGGCCAATTATTTATAATAATACTTCTCCAGAACTGTGAAATAAAATGGCTCATTTTTTCTTGTTTTTCCTGTTAGAGTGCCACAGGGAAAATGGAAGAGTTCTTCCTGTTTGGGTCTTTCCTGGAGGCCACCATGATTGACAGGAAGATCGGTGACAAACCAATCWGTTTTGAAATTACAATAGGTAATAAAATGTGTTCCACCCTTATTATTTTAGATTTACACAACAGTGCAACGTGACCGTAAACGGACACCAATAGCTACAGTAATTCTTGAAACTGCTTATGCAATAGGTAATTATGGCAACCAGATAGATGGCGTGAGCAAATCATCCACGGCAAAGAAGAAAAAGAAAGACGGGGAGAACGAAGAGGAGGAGAACGAGCTGATCCAGAACTCCAGTGAGGATGAGGCGGACGARGCCGGCAACCTGGCCTCGGTCTCATCAACTCCTCCATTAAAGCCCTTCATCACTGACAGGTCAGAGGTCACTGAGCCATGCAGGAAACTGATAAACTCATTACCCGTCTTTTCTCAGTATCATGGCCGGCCCTGGACTATTTGATGCCCTGGGCAACATGTTAGGTGGCGCCCCCTGTGCAGTTTTTTAATCGTCACTGCTAATTTACACACTAGCATAAAACAGYTTGTCTTTGTCATTTTCTRTCTTTAGAAACCAGTTTGCCAGTTAAAATAGAGGAATATCAGCAATGRCAGCATCCTTGAYAACAAWGAGRAACACCYGTTCATGTTAATGAGCAGCTGTGTAGTGAAGCAGTTCTATGGGGGWCTGGGATTATACTCCCCTGGAAAATGTTGTGAATGATCYACTCAAAACTATGCATCTATTTTACTAAATTCTTGGGATTAATAAAACAACAAMTAATAATTCATGAAGGTAGAACACTGAAAACCAGAATTTAACCTGAACTTTAACTGAAATTTCCATTATTCTTGTTTTGTTTTGTGGTTATACCATAATACTTTTATCACGAAACATCCTCTGCACCATATAACCTCATRTAGTAACAAAGCAGCTGAGAAAACCACAGAACAAGTTTCCCTCATAAACTTGAGTAACTTGTTTKTGGCGCCCCCTAGATGGACGGCACCCTTAGCATTTGCCTTTACAGCCTGTGCCGCGGGCYGGCCCTGCTTAATATTGTGAGAAATTAGGCTTCTTCAACTGCATTATAAGTAGGTAAGCTGCAAGTTTTTCAACTTTGATTTCACTTGTATTTTCCAGAAACTACTTCCACCTGCCCTACTTTGAAAAGAAGCCGTGTGTCTACATTAAGAGCTGGTGGCAGGACCAGAGACGACGACTTTATAACTCAAACATGATGGATAAGATTGCAGACAAGCTGGTCAGTAACTCAAACTCACTCCCAYGTTATAATAGTAACCTGCACACAACGACTCTCTAAACAAGCAGGTTTGTTTACAGTGTCGATAACTTCAGTTTATCTTGGTACTTTATTACATAACAATGTTGTGAATTAATTACATGTTGCCGATAACGTTGTGTGTTTTACGCTCCGTTTCATTGTGCGCCCCGCCAGGAAGAGGGACTGAATGATGTTCAAGAGATTATTAAGACGGAGAAGGCCTTTCCAGAGCGCAGACTCAGGGGAGTGCTGGAGGAGCTGAGTGTCGGCTGCAGGTAATCAGCCCAATAATAAGATGTATCATGAACTAGAACGGGCGTTTTGACTGGTAGCCTATGAGAGCCGAGAGTTTCCCTCAGTGGTAATAGAAGGAAAAGCTGCTGCAGATCTCAGCAGTTTGGTGCCTTGTTTGTTTTGAATTGTGTCAATAAAAATAACTTTTCATAATTAAGGCAGTCAGCTTCCTCTGAGACATATTCATCCTGCAGTACTTTGCAAGCAAACATTCATTAAGTGTGCCATGGGGAAAGCAGGCGGTCCTTCAGTTTTTATTTTTTATTTACCTTAGTAATCTCTTTTGTGACTCTGTTAGAGTAGCGCACTACTCGTRTGTATAATCACCACCTATAAGATCAAAGCAGGTGGATATATGTCATGCAGACTTTATCAATATATTTACTTTCACTGTTTTTTGTTTTTTTTRCAGTCGGTTTGTGACGCTCGCAAACAAAGATGTGAACCAAGCAGGCAGAACCAAACTCGATCGAGAACGACTCAAATCCTGCATGAGAGAGATGGTACAGTTTATTCCTCTTAGACGCAATTAGGCTTCTAATCTCACTGCTGTAATTAAATAGGCTTAAAGCTGGTATGAAAGCCAAACAAAACTAGACATGGGTTTTTATGATGTAAAAACAAGTGTGCATTGCCACRTAGCATGGCTTTGCCTGCAGCATTGGACTTGCAGAATGAACTTTGACCAAGTTCAAATGTGTTTTCTATACCAGCTTGTGCCTGTCAAGTCAGCAGGTGTTTAGAATTAAGGTAATTGTGTGACAATATGAAGTTTGAAGAGATTTTTTCTTAAAGTTGCATTAGCTGGGTTTTGAACCCTGATCTCCCACATGAAAGTTCATGACATAGTCCATTATACCAATGGAGTTGTGGCAGAAGGTGGTGGCAGGGGTTGGTTTGTATGTGTGCAGAAAGAGGCYACATTGCCAATACAATTATTGACACTAAACTGCATAATATTACAACAATAGAGCAGTATTAAGACAATATTATAGTAAAACATCAAAATACAATCATATTAGTATTGTAAACACTGAACTATTGAGATTAAATATTAAAAACTATGGTGCAGTACCAAGTTGAGTACAGCTGGGGGCAGTATTGAACCATTTCAAGGCCCCATTGACTCCTATTATATGAATTTGGAATAAAGTTTAAACATTAATATTTAAAAAACTACAAGTTGTACAGGCACCAGAAGACATAGCAATCATTTGGCACAGGACCTTTACAGATAGAAATTACAATGGCAACTATAGGACAAAGTATGCAGGAGGAGTAGCGTGGCGATGTGGAAGAAGACGGAATAAGTTGAATAATGAGAAACAGGAAAACAGTAGAAAATACATTTGACATTTTTTTAATTCACATTTTAATTAGTAGCTATTCACATACAAATGTTTTCATTGTAGAAGGAATTATGGTTGCTACTATCATGCTGTTGAGCATTATTATCACTTTCCCGCTCCTGCAGGACAGCATGGGACAACAGGCCAGGCAGATCCGCACGCAGGTAAAGAAGAACACAGTCAGAGACAAACTCAAGCTGGCGCAGCACTTCCTGCAGAGACTTCGTTTCCTCRCTGATGAGGTAGATATCCTCCACATTTTTACATTTTTAAAAGTAAAAATCACATAATTCTAAGTGGGAAAGGACTAAAGACCACTATGTATAAAATGCACTCAGAAAATGTTTTGTTGAGTTTACTTAACCAAGTTATGTGACGTGGTTCCACTCAGTCAAGATGTGTAAATGTAAAGAGATTTACTTGTGTTACTTTACTCTTCTTAGTTTGGTGAAACCACTTCACATAACTTGGTTAAGTCAACCAATCATTTTTCTTTTTGAGTGGAAGTAAAAGTAACAGAAAATGACTGTAAAAAATTAGTTTCAATGATAAGAAAAGTACTTAAGTAAAAGTCGTAAAACTGCTCACAGTAATCGGTAAATTAAAAGTACACACACTAAAAAATGAAGTGTTGACTTTATTTAGCCGGTTCCACTAAACCGAGTTGACACATTGTCTTTTCAAGAAAAACTTTAAATTTCTTTACATTTACTCAACTCGGTTAAGGCCCGGTCACACCAGACAACTTTTGTCAACATATGAAACATTTTTCATGTCTAAATTGCTAATAAAGGTTATATATTTGATCAGTTTGTAGCTCCATGCTGAAAAGAAGCATCCTGTTGATTTTTTTCAATTCCATCTTCAACGTGGATGTCTTTAAAATGTTCATAAGTTGGCATAAATTGTCTAGTGTGACAGGGCCTTTAGTGGAACATAACTTGGATAAAAATATTCAACACTTAAATTTTTAAAGTGCAGAAAACAATTCCTTTCATGATGAGTTCTGGTCATAGTTAARCTTGTAGCATGTAATGAGGTGTTAAATTTTTAAGTAAAAAAGTAAAAGTTAAGTATAAAAAATAAATTTGGTAAAATTACAAATCCTTAAAAAAATACTAAAGTACTGTTACAGAGTAAATGTACATGTACATGTTACTATACACCGCTGCTAAAGAAAATATTAGTAACTTATTTTTGGTTTGTATTTTGCCAGCCTCAGCACAGCATCCCAGATGTTTTCATCTGGATGATGAGCAACCATAAGCGCATCGCCTACGCCCGGATTCCTTCCAAAGATATCCTGTTTTCTATAGTGGATGAAGAAATGGGCAAAGACTGTGGAAAAGTCAAAGCTGTCTTTCTCAAGGTGTCATCTCAGCTCCATGTTTGCACTTTTCTTTCATATCCTTTATTAACTTATTGCGTTGGTTGGGTTTGTTTCAAAGATCTGTTTGTGAATGTTCAGCCTGTTATTGTTGTAACCTGTGTCCACAGTTGCCTGGTAAAAAGGGCTTTGGTCCTGCAGGCTGGACGGTTCAGGCTAAACTGGAGTTATATCTGTGGCTGGGCCTCAACAAGCAACGGAAGGATTTCCTCAGCGGTCTCCCRAATGGTTTTGAGGAGATTACAGCAGCTAAAACTGGCCCCGGTCTTCACTCTGTGCCTCCAGTCAGCCTCGTCTACAACAGTAAGCACTGTGCAGGTTTATATCTAATGACAAACGTGATTATTTACTGATAACATTGTTTTCTTTTTCACCATTAAGTTTTGTTTCAGTTTTTCTTTTTATTTACATTTCAGTTTTAAGTGTAAAATCAATAAAACACAACCAAACCCACTCAGAAAGTTAAATGAGACTTATTGATCTCTCTGTGTGAAGTAGTTTATCTGTCTGTGTGTGTGTGTGTGTGTGTGTGTGCGTGCGCGCGCGTGTGTGCGTGTGTATCAGTGAAGCAGGTGTTTCAGCTGAGAGCTCACATGTACCAGGCCCGCAGTCTGTTTGCTGCCGACAGCAGCGGTCTCTCAGACCCCTTCGCTCGGGTCTTCTTTTCCACACACAGCCAGCTTACTGAGGTAACAGTACTTCCATTTGTGTATATATATATATACAGTATACATATACACCTCTCCGTGTTCATGTGCTTTTATTGATTCTGTGCAAACTGCATGGTTGTGTGTTTACAGGTTCTGAGTGAGACTCTTTGCCCCACATGGGACCAGCTGCTGGTGTTTGATGATGTGGAGCTGTTCGGAGAAGCCAGTGAGCTGAGAGACGACCCTCCAATCATCGTGGTCGAAATCTATGACCAAGACACTGTGGTAGGATTCTGCACGTAGAAAATAGATGTGGTGCTGTTTAAAATAGAAATGAGATTTTTAAACTAAACATGATTTATTTTTCCATCCCTGATGTCTGTCCACCCTCATCTTCACAACCTTCTTTTTTTCTCCCCTCGTCTTGGCATGATAGAGTATTATGCTTTGGTTTTTAAAAGAAATTTGTGGCTGATTTTTTTTTTCCAAGAGTGCTGCAAGGGGTCGAAACATTTTTGCAGCACTTCCACAAGGAACAAAGTTAGATGTTTTATTTTCAAACTAGCTCTTTGTACCTTTTAATTATCAATGAGATGATTCAGTTTTCAAGTTTTTTTTTCTTTAATTGCATCAACGACTTTGGCCAATACTGACACCAAGTGGCTGTTTTGATAACTGCACCTCCCCACCTGTGTCTAACCCCTTCCCTTTCTCCCCCATCACCGTCTTGGCTTGCTGCTTGTCACACAACGTGGTGCACAGGGTAAGGCAGAGTACATAGGTCGGACGTTTGCAAAGCCCACCATCAAGATGTGCGATGAGCATTACGGGCCTCCCAGGTTCCCCCCGCAGCTGGAGTACTACCAGATCTACCGAGGGAACTGCACCGCTGGTGAGCTGCTGGCTGCCTTTGAGCTTCTGCAGGTACAAGATGCAACACAACATGTAGTTCTGCTGCTTTAAGGTGCTACTTGTAGTTGAAATGCTACAGTGGCTTTTTTGAGTTTTGGGTTGCATGAACAGTTTTTACTCGTGTGTTACTCTTTGTAGTTTCATGAACTGAGCTCTGTGGTTATCCTCTATTCCCTTTTATGCTTCCTCTTGCATTCACCTTTCTGTTTCTCCTGTTTTTTTTCTGCTTCTTCTGCTGCTTACAGAAACCATTCAATGCAGAGGAGATCAGGCGAGCTCTAATCGCCGTCCATAACTTTGCTATTCCTCAAATAAAGGTTCTTTCATAGATCTTTCCATTTATTATTCAACTTATTTGTCTTACTGTTTGTGCTGTTTTTAACTTTTGCACTACCGCCGACAACTGTTCGACCTCTAATCACTTCTTGCAGTCAGTTGTTGCACCGAGAAAAACAAAAGCAAACTAGAGAAATTGCATTTCCAGCAAAAATGCTGGTGTGAATGCTTCATGCTAAAAACTTAAGCTGAAAGCTGCTGAAATTGAGCTGAAAATATGTAATAAGAAACGTGAGCTCATTTTGAAAAGCTGAAAGAAGCAAACAAGCCTAATTTTGCAGAAAAACAGTAAAAAGGAGCTAGTTGAAACCTGAAAACAGCTAAAAGCTAAGAGCTAAAATAGCTGAAAATAGCTGAAAACATCTGTAAGAAGCATAAATAGCACTAGGTAGCAGAAAAAGTAGAAAAAGGCACAAGAACAGCAGAAATAAGTAGATCTATAGCTAAAGTAGCATAAAATAGCTAAAATTAGCATAATATAAGCTGAAGGTAGCAGCCACAATTTGAAATTAGCACCCAGTTGAAATACTTGTAATTGAAAAWTAGCTAAAAATTCCTAAAATTACATAAAAGTGATAACTAAAACAGCTGAAATTTTCAGTAAAATAGCTAAAACATAGCTGCAGATGTTTTAATTAGCATAAGGAAGCATAAGCACAAGTTTGCTGAACTCAGTCGAAAAAAGTTTGTAAYAGCTACAAAAAACGTTAGCTAATAGCAGATAAACATTAGCCAAAATTTCAGCAAATAGCTAAATATAGCAGAAAGCATCTGTAAGAAGCATAAATAGCACAAAGTTGCGGAAAAATGCACAAAAAAGTAAAAAAAAAAAGCTGAATATAAGTTGAAACAAAAAAAGCTATAATTAGTAAAAAAATAAAATAAAATTAGCTACAATTAGCACAAGAAAGTGAAAAAGAGCATAACCAGAAAAAACTGTGTAAGGTTTTGTAAAGATTTAGAAACATTTTAAAAGAGTTTAAGGACGTTGAAAACAGCTCCATTTTCCATTTTCAATGGCAAAAAAGTGGCTAAAAAAAGTGAAATAGCTAAAAAAAAGTATATATAGCTGAAATACCAAAAGTCGTAGCACCCCTCACATGAATGAGCTGAATGTTTTGATAAATGAATTGTTGAAATAGCACAAAACCTGTGGAATGAGTTAGATGCCGAAAAACATAAGGAAGAAAAAAATGATCTCATTAGTGTGAATGTGATGAAGCGTTCACACAATAAACCTGATCTGGTTCTTCCAGATGTGTCATGAGCTGTTTTACACTTTCATTAGGTTGGTCAGGGAGGCCGAGCYGACCTTCCGCCCCTCGAAGGACCAACAGACTCCGAGCGTGGACCCATCCTCCCTGTGCCGCTGGGTATACGGCCTGTTCTGAGTCGCTACCGCATTGAGGTGAGTTTTATTTGCAGGACTGGATGTTTGGGGCTGTAAATAACCACTTCGCTTACAGCCATTTCTGTTCTCAGGTTTTATTCTGGGGATTAAGGGACCTCAAGAGGATAAACCTAGCTCAAGTTGATCGACCCAGAGTGGACATTGAGTGTGCGGGTCGAGGAGTTCAGTCTGCTCTCATTCAAAACTACAAGAAGAATCCCAATTTTAGCACTCTGGTCAAATGGTTTGAAGTGGTGAGTTTACGTGTTGTTGTTGTGTTTAAACCCTACAAAATTGAGTTTAAGGTCGTGTTCACACCTGGTGAAATGGACCAGAGTTCATTTCCAGCGTTGGTCCGGACTTTTTGTGCAGGTGTGWATACACTCATGTGAACTCTGGTGCGGATCAAACAACCGGACCGAGACCTGCTTTTTGAGTTGGTCTCGATCCACTTCCAAACAAACTCTGGTGCAGTTCGCTTCAGTTCACTTCTGGTGTGAATACAGACCGGCTTCGAACCGAACCAACTGCATAAAACATGCACCTATTTGGACTTCACAGGCCACCATCGCTGAGCTAAATAAACTGAAATCATATTCATCGTCTCCAGCATGTAGTGGGTCAGAACACGCAGCACACCTCGTCTCCTTTGGGTTGCGGGACACATTTACTGACGTCGCTCCAAAATTAGAATATCATCGTGAAACCACCATTAAATTAGCAGCTTTTGATATTTTAAATGGTATTGCAGTTGTACTAACAGCATAAATGTGCGCATCAGAACTGCAGCACGCAGAACTTCTGTGTTTTTTTCTGGGTCTGTGCTCTCAGTCCCGCCCCCCGTCTAGGGCTGCCACAAACAATTATTTTTATAGTCGAATAATCACCAGTTATTTTGTTTGATTAGTCGACTTATCGGATCATACATTAATTGAATATAAAACATAGAGCTCATCACGCCAGAATGCAGCTGCTATTGTATAACCATCGTTGGATTTGAGCTATATGCTAACTAAAAATAATTGCTGTGGAAGGTAAGTTCTGCTCTGCAGATATTACACAGGTTTCTCTTTCATTTTCTTAAAATGATCCCACACTTTGAGCTCTGTTTTCCGGGTAGCCATGATACCAGAGCCTGTCTGTATAATGTCTTGGGACATCCACGGCCTACCCCAGTTACCACTACTGTGTATGTGTGTCAAGGACAGAAAGGTAGATGTGGCAGTGGAAGGTGTCAAAGCAGTTTGGAGAGAAAAACAAAGTAAAGAACAAAAAAAATTACTAATCGATTATTAAATTAGTCATTGACTATTTTAATAATTGATTAGTCATCGACTAATCGACTAATCTTGGCAGCCCTACCCCCGTCATTTCTGTCTAATGGGACAAATGGTCGTCACCCTTGTGGCTTTGTTTACAAGTTATAGTTTGTTTGCAAAAAAGCACAATGTGAATGCAAATCACACCAAACGAATAAAAAAAGTCCACTTTTGGTCTGAACCAAACAAGCGGACCAAAGAACTTTCCTGGTGTGAATACACCCTAACACACGTTGAAATTTAGGGTGTATTCACACACGCCCTGTTTAGTCCGCTTTAATCAAACTCTAGTTCGTTTGCCTAGAAAGTATGGTTTGTTTGGGAAGGTTTTAATGCAAAATTGAGCTCTGATGCGGACCAAAAAGGCAAATTCTGGTCCGCCTGAAAACCTAGGTACTGGTTCGGTTGAAGTGACCTGTGCATGAATGCATGTAAACACCAAGCGGACCAGAGACTGCTCCAAAATCAGGAAGCGAACTACAACATTCGAAGTAAGGTTTTTGTATCATTTCCTTTGGTGGTTCTTGATGCAGTGCCACCTCAAAAGGTTGTGTTTGTTTGACACAGCGCAGTATGAAAATGTAAACCAATGTGGCAAATTTGGTCCCCAAATGAACCGAGTCTCGCCGACTATCAGGTGTGAAAACACCCTTAGTTTCTGTTTTCCCTAATGTTTACCACAGGACCTTCCAGAAAACGAGCTTCTTCACCCTCCCCTGAACATCCGGGTGGTGGACTGTAGAGCGTTTGGCCGCTACATCCTGGTGGGATCCCATGCAGTGACCAGCCTGAGGCGTTTCATCTACAGTCCTCCAGACAAGTCGAACAACAACTGGGCCAACGCAGGTGCTTAGTTTACATTCTGATGTGCCATTGTCATCCATTAGTACATTATTGTACAGTATATGTGTGATGCAGTAGAACAGTGTTGTATAAGGTACCACAAAGTGATACTTGAGTAAAAGTACAAGTATCTTACCAAAAAATTACTTTGGTAAAAGTTAAAGCCTCCTTTAGGAATATTACTTGAGTAAAAGTATCTGAAATTTTTGTACTTAAGTATTAAAAGTAAAAGTATTGATTTAAAATGAGCTGTTAGATTTTCTGTAATGACATTTATTAGGAGGTGACCTCCCCAAAAAATGCAGAAATGACTATATCGTATTAAAATAATTATTTTATGTTAAATTTAGGATGCACTAGTCCCGTTGTTTCTGTTTATATACATATATCAAAGCTGCACAAAGCTTTTCCCCAAAATGAAAGTCTATCTGAGGGCTGCGGCCAAATGTAATAATATAATTCATGAAATACAAATACTTCTTAAGTACAGTCCTTTTATTTTAATGATTATGTCCTGCTGCAGTGTGACGTGATTTGTTTGTGTACAAACTAATACAGTATCAGAGTTTTATATATTTATACTTCTCATTCAACCATAATTAAATTCACTCTATCTAGGAGGCACAGTTTATATGGATAATATTTATTTTTTACAATAACAAGCTGGAATGAAAACAAGCAAAAATGAAATAAAAGTAACGACTTTTTACTTCTTGCCTTTTTTAAAAATGTAAGGAGTAGAAAGTACAGATAACTGTGTGAAAATGTAAGAAGTAGAAGTAAAAAAGTAGATAAATAATTACTCAAAGTACAGATACACAAAAATTCTACTTAAGTACAACAACAAAGTATTTGTACTTRGTTACTTTACAACTCTGAGTAWAGAAGTGTTTTATTTGTTGTTGTGTGTTCGATGTAGTAACTATTGTAGCATTTAAAAGACATTCTTCATCAACTCAACTCTCGAGTTCCCAAAAAATATATTCTTCTTTTTATTAACTTTGCTGATTTCTCTGCTTACTCTTTCTCTGACCAAACTTTCCTGACTGAACCTTACCTCTGTTTTCCATCTTGTTCCTCTCTTCCTTGGCCTGCATCCCACTGCCTTTCCTGCTGCTGTCTTTAACCGTCGGCTTCCCTCCAGCTAAGTTAATGAACGGCTACATGGTTCTAACTAACGGCGGCTCCCTTCCTCGCWCCTTACCCAGCCTTTCTTCCCGCACCTTCTCTCGCCCCGCAGGTGACGTAATCGTCAGCTTGGAAGAAGAGGCCCCGATGCGTAAGATGGACACGGTCGTCAAGTTAGACGCTGTGAGATTTTCTATTCTCTTGACTYCAATCTGCTAATTTTTCAGTTTATATTTATATCTCTGTGTAGCATCCTCCCATTCCTTTGACCTGAATATGTTACTCATACCTGCATCATCCCTCATGTGTAATAATCCTTGTGATGTTCCATGTAACGCCCTCTGTCGTAGATGTCTGATGCTGTTGTAAAAGTTGACATGGTGAGTATCTTCCAGTAGATTTTTAGCAGTTCATGTGCACTGYGGTTGACTTGTGCTTAACAGCAAATACGAACTAGCATCGGTTTTGTCTGCGTTGTTCTCGTCAGATTGAAGAAGAGAGCGACAAAGAGAAAAAGAAGAAGAAAAAGAAGAAGAAGGGAGGAGCGGAGGAAGAGGAGGAGTTGGACGAGAGAGTGCTGGATTGGTGGTCCAAATATTTCGCCTCAATTGAGACGCTGAAGGAGGTTTTAAATTCTGTTCTAGTCTGATTGATTTACTCATTTGGTGTCTGTGTGAGTGTGTGGTTTTAAAATAAATGGTTTCACTCTTTAAAATGTTCTTGTTCTGTCAGACCCTCAGAGCTCAGGAGGCAGCTCAGGCAGAAGCAGAGGAAAGAGAGGACTTTGAGATTGCAGCTGAAGCAGCTGGTAGGTTTTTTTTTTTTTACTGTTATAAAGTTTTATCAGGTGGTGGATATTATTTTTACACACTTAAAGGGGAGGTATTAAATATTTTCCAGGCACATACCGTATTTATTCATTTATAATACGATCTCATGTATAATACT